AAGTAAGCAAAATAAGGGTTGCATATTCTGCTAGTTCAGATTTTTAGTTAGATGCCTTTATTGAAAATTGTAGTTATTTCTTTATCCGAAGTATAATAATTCACCAGGAACGTCCTTACTAAAAAATTGGTGTGTCGATTTTGCTTTGTGGTTGAAAACGAAATCGTGCGTTATTATTACTGCATGAAATTATCTTCCTAACGACTCAAATCTTTCGGCAGTTTCCCCAAATAATGACCCTTTAAAATAGAAATATTCTTGTTAAAGATTGGTCGTTCAGACTGCAGTCCCAGGGTCATGTTAACAGGGTAATTTTATTGACCACTTCGAATTGCTTGCGGAAGATGAACAGATGTAACTCAAGCTTTTGCTGAAGCTCAATTTCGGTTTTCTATTACAGATCTTTCATCTGCATGGTCCGGGTGTATTACTTTACCGATAATTTCACCGACGATATACACAATTCATCCAGGCAGTTGCGACGTGTATACGATTCATGTAGATGACATTTACCACATTGTGTTATTGCTGTATCGGATGGAAACAGATAGCATTTCTTGTTTTCTTCGGTCAGATTATAGGCGCCTCAATCGCAAGTTCGTTAGGCAGGTCATCGAATTCACCTTCTTTAACTTCTTTAGAGGAAACTGTAATCAAAATTGGGCGATTTCTATTCGTCAGAACAGAACCTAGTTCGTTTGGCTTTACTAGAGAAATCAATTTGTTTGGGAGGTGTCTTTCTGCTCGGTCACGATGCCTCGCAGGCTTACCTAGAGGCGTTGAATATGAACATCCCTCGACTACTTGAACTTTTATCGTCTGTAATCTGCAACGGAAATTACCATTGAGCATCGAATGGAACGTCAAAACATTAACCCAACACATTACACGATTTAGATGTAGGTATATTGTGGTTTGTTTCATTATCCTTCACACTGATATATTTCAAAGCAATCGACGGCACCAGATGTCTGACAGTCAAACGAACCGATCACTTCACATAACGTTACAAAATAACTAATTTCTAGCCGTCATACTTAAAAACAAACTTTTCAATTGCAAACAAAGGTTTCCTCTATCTTCTAATATACACTGGTTCTGGCAGATAATTTTTTAGATTTTCAGTAGTTAATTTCATGTTTGTTACTTAGGTCTTCTAAATTGTTATTAACAGTCTTAACCAATGTTTAACGACCCATAGGTCGGATTAAACTAACACATTTAATTAATATATGCCACCATCTTAATTTATTGCTCGAAGTCAATTGATTTCATTCTGATCAGTCCCGACAGAAATTGCCTGGCTGCATGGCTGTCATACAATATTATCTAAATCAAGCGAAGCATCACTAACTTTGTAACAATTACTAGTATGTGTGTTGTGCCCGATTTGCTAGAATATCGTCATATAACAAAAGATGATGTGATCCACATGTTGTTACGTGCCATCCTGTTAGATTATACTCAACTGAAACGATATTGTTTTGGGCTGTGTATATGTTTTGTTCAAATGTCACGCAGCAACAAAATGAGGAGCTACACACACCCTGTCATCATCTGCATCCCTACTGATATATCTTTTTTAAGGATGTAGTAAAGGTTATTGCTATTGCAAATGCATAGCGCATTTCTGAGTAACATATTTTTTGAATCCCATCAAGTTATATATTTTCAGATAACTTATTTTTCAAATAATATGAAATAAATATTTCAACAAAAATGGAAGCGTTATTTTCAAACCGAAAGAAGGCCGCAGAAATGATGTTCGCGCTACTTAGATATACTATATTAGGTTTGAATTCAATTTCCCATTTGGTCTACTGTTGCGTAACCTAGATTTTGACCTCATAACACTTTTTAAAAACATCATTGTTTTGAAATATAACTCAGTCTCAACAACGAAATAAAGAAATATATATATATTTACATTATTACTAATGCATTGCAATACAACCAATTTAAATTGAAAGAAATTGCAATATAAAATATTCCGCCAGTAACACTTCTCAAGGGCGTTTTTCACGGTCAGTGTTATTTACGAAAATATTTGTTTATAATAAATTGTATAAACTGGCTTGGCAATTCCCACCCCAATTAAATATAATGTGTACATATTTTAATAAATAAAATTAAAGATACACTATATTATAAATATTAATTATTTCATATTTTATTATATAACCTGCACAAAAGTAAACAATATTTTTCCTTGCTAGAATGATGTTTAACTTCATACGGGAATCCTGATAAAGTTCACATCTGGCGATTTAGCAATATTAGGGATTGTCAACTTCCTGTGAATTTGATTACCGAACGTTTCTAGGTTCATGTGCTGCAAGTTACTGAGCACGTACCTAAGCGGCCGTTCCTCAGAAAATAATTAAACCAAGCCATTTTCGAGGGCGAAATCGCGAAACTCTCCGTTTTTACGCAATCTGGGAATTTCAAATTACTAAATGAAGAACAGGACGACGAAGCTGAAATATCCAAGAACCAACACATACCACACATTATATCTCAAAAGTGAATATTCCCGGAATATTCGTGGTGTATTTTAAGTATAACCGAACCTGAAGTGGGAATTTGTTAGTACTCTAAATATCTAAACATATTTTAGTATAAGGTAGCAACAACTTGTCAATAATAATGAGATTATTTATAAGGATGAGATTGTTATTTGAATTTCGTTCATTAATGGAATAACTGAATCAGACTCCTACATTGACTATGTCCCGGACTGTTTACTAGTACTTACTTACTTACTTGTCAGTGTCTGACTGTTATATACAGCCCAGAGCACGTCAGAATAGTGAAAAAGTCAGAAAATTTCAGTTGCCCGTGCCTTGAAAGCCGTAGAACAAAAACAATCTGTCAACCTTCGCCGCCCACAGCATCGATGTGATTTTACATTGCATAGAAATGAATACTAAATGAAGCTATCCCTGTCAGCAATTGAATCATCAATGATTTATGTAACTGGTATCTCCATCTATTTGCTAAATGATCTGAACGTGAATATTGTCAAGTTCGAGAGTGTGTTTTTACGTACAGTGACGCGAACATTCAACAACGCGTTGAACAGGAATCTTCATGTTTGGCTAGTGGCACTGTCAAATTTTAGAGACTACAGGAACTGTTTCAGTAAGGAATTATTATGCATATCAAAATCCTTTATTGGAACAGAACATGTTATATATTCACCAAAAACAACGTTGCCATGTTTCTAGGCATACAACGAATTGGAAACAAAAGAAATCGTCTGATCCAAACGACCTGCGTCCTTGAAAATCTAGTCTTATCGCCTTTGCCTTTCGAGCGAAAAAAGGTCGAGGCCAACAATAGGATAGGTTATTTATTAGAGGCGCCCGGGGAACCAAAATTTGGAACGTGAATCACTCCCGCGACAAAAACTCTGTGATACCTATAATAACCACATTTCCTGTGTAATAACCAAGGGGTGAGAGACTATTTACCAAATCCAAAATTTAGCGAGAATGCCTTTTCAAGCGAAAAATGTGGAGGTAAACAAAAACAAAAAACAATAAAAAAGAAACGATTTTCGCCCAATCATCCATTTTTGGGTGATATATCATTGATTCAGCCCAACGGTAATATAGCTTATATATTAGTGGCGCTCAGGAACCAAAATTTGGGACGTGAATGACTTGGACGACAATCATAACCAAGAGGTGAGAAACTACTTACCGCTGCGATAGCTACGGTGATTGCGACCCCAATTATATTTTGATTTTAGTAATATGAGAAAGTGCAGATCTCGAACGTTCTTTAGTACAAATACATTTTTTGATTGCCTAGCACAGCGAACGCAAATTAATGCGAGTGAATTTCTAGTAGTTGTATGTCCAATATGGCGACCAAGGGCAAACGCATTGTTATTCAAATTAGCTTTAGTTGAAAATTTGAGTTTCTTCCGCGATAGCAACGTAAATTTGAAGCAAAATGTTATCGCAAGCCTCAAAATACGACAGTGAAAGCCAATGAAACGTTTTTGAAGGCAAATGAACATGTCAAGCCAAAAAGACGTGTCGTGGCGTAAAATGGAGGTATATACCATTGTTAACTCTTGAGGGGAATGGAAATCAGTTGATTCAAGGGTGTCACAATAAGCGAGGGAGAAAATCGTTTTTATGCTACGAAAAAGTGAAAACCTAGAACGTACTTTTTGGACTTTAATACAACGTCTTTTTGTTTGATTACCTAACGTTTTTAGGTTCATGTGCTGCAAGTTACAGAGCACATACCTAAGCGGCCGTCCCTCAGCAAATAATGAAGCCAAGGCATTTTCGATGCGAAACTCTCCCTTTTTACGTAAACTGGGAAGTTCGAATTACTAAACGAAGTACAGGACGGCGAAGCTTAAATATCCAAGAACCAACACAAACCAAAAATGATATCTCAAATGTGAATATTCGTAGTGTATTTTAAGTCTAGCCGGACCGCAAATGGGAATTTGTTAGTACTCTAAATATCCAAACATATTTTAGTATAAGGTAGTAATTAATAAAATACATAATACGGTACTTATAAATACGTATATTCTCTGGGATTGTGTAAAATATTTTCTGAGACTAGAGACTGGTCTTCGACACTCAACTGCGCCACCAACGGCAGAAATCATTCAAGGCATGGAGAGTGAGTAGTTACTCGTATTCATATTAGAAGACCGATAAAAACAACATGTGTGCTTTGGCGGAACGTGTTAGACTAACTAATTTCACGCATTTGTACGATGTGTTGTAACATCTTTTTATTTGTGAAGCGAATACTACAGGCTTAATGACCAGTTGGTACGCCTAACGCGACGTGTGAATCTAGTTGTTGGCAAACTTTAGGACCAAATATTTTTTTTATCTTGGTGTCTACACAAAAGAATTAAATCCTTTTTTAGTAAAGTAATCCAATAATACGGATACCGGTACCGGATATCAAAAAGGAATATATACACCCAGCGTGAATCACTGCATCATTCGCAAGTTTTTAAAGCACTGTCGACTGTTAGTGTTCAACCGAGCCAAAGAACGATGCTGCGTATTCTCGTTTTAATATCAGTGGTTGGCATTGCCATCTCTTCGCCGAAAGAGGTAGGAAAATACAGATGCGATTTTATTTTGTTTATTTTGCACGTCTTTGTTAGTTAGCGAGGTTCCACGACCATATATTCACGGCAGCACTAGATTTAGCTAGACGATCGTGGATTTTTGATGTCCATATAAGAAGTAGAACTATTCATTCCGTGTTCGTAAACAACGTGTCACTATGTAAATCAATAATCAATATTGCGTACTTTATGTTGTATAGTCGGCAAAACTTAGTTGAAACTCTTTTAATTACACCAAATTATTTGTGAGGTATGCTTTTATAACAAAATCTGACGCATGCACTGTGCCGTTTATCGACTAAATTATTAATGTCTTCACTGCAGTAAATCCCGTCATGCACTGCTATTTTGAATTATGCTTCGGGTTTGCTCTGAACATAACTAACCGAGAAATACGTGCTGTTTGGAGTTTGCCTGGACTCGGACACAGTTTTATCATGAGTAAAACAATGGTTTTAAACATTCTATCGGTACTTACTACCGGTAACGGTTAAAGTGCGTGTAAAGTAGTAATATTATGACTGTTTCGTCGATGAGCACAGCGTGATGTTAATAGCGCAACAATGTACGGGGTCGTGTATGTTTGAGATTCGGTGTTTTGTTACAATTTTGGTCCGAAATAAAAGTGTATATCAATATTTCTCAGAGTGAACGCGATCTAGGCTAGCGAGCATAGGCAAGTTATTTTTGAATGAACTTCTTGCACAGTACAATACAATAAACTACACCCTAATGGCACAATAAATATAATTACTTTTGTCGGCAATAGTAACCCCCCAAAAACAGGCATATCTGTATGATATTTTTTTTGTTTTATATATATTTTTTTGTTTTCAGAAAGTACTTCAAAAAAGAAGTTACGGTATGTAAATATTCCAAAAGAATAGTGAGTGAATGAGTGAGGCTTGATGGTGCATTGAATTATGGGTGGTTGGTTGTTAGGTCGAGTGAGTGAGTGAGTGAGTGAGTGTGTGAGTGTGTGTGTGTGTGTGGGTGTGAGTGCGTGCGTGCGTGCGTGTGTTTGTATAGAAGTAGAAGTGGAGCCACACCAAAAAAGTGGAGCTTTTTGTACAAGTGGAGCCTCAAACATAGGGACTCACAATATTTCAAAATTTTGTTAATATTTAATCGAATTTAAGTCAAGTTTGTGAAGCTTAGGTTTAGTA